GGCATTCCCAGCCATTTCAGATGCTCTGCTACAATTTCACTGTGTCCACCCTGCCTGCAGCAATTGATACAAGTCAGTAACTTGGATGCATTCTGGTGTTCATACGTCATTATGAAGCATAGATAGCAAAAAGCTGATTACAATGGGATTCGTTTTTAATGACAAAAGTAACAGCTTTAGCTCCCCTATAATCACAGAAATTTGTAATATCAGGCTGTCAGGGACCATCAAAGTACACGTTCTAACCAAAGCCAGGATCGTCCCTCTATACGTAAGCTGCTCCTGCCAGGTGTTTGGCTTATTTGCTTTTATCAAACAACTGAAGGAGCCTGACTTCAATTTAAGTCCACTGCTGCTTCTAACAGCCGCAGCAGACATGAAGATCAGTTTAATCCTTTCGCCTCCACAGTGACTTTTGACGTATTTCAATGCTTATCTGCTCTCCACCACGCTACCTAAAACCTAAACCGACTCTGGGACGTTCCCAGCTGGCCATGTCTTCTGGGCTTCTGATCATTCCTGTTCTACTGTGACCTCCTCCTTGCTTCACGGTTTTCTTGACAGCATTGCTCCAAAATTGGTACCTCACACCACCACTTGAAGCCTTCCTAGAGCCAAGTTTAATGAACAGATTAAACAAAGGCTTCCTTTATTTGATATCTGAGATAAGTGTAGGAACTTCATGCTTCTGAAGTCTCATGTTTTAACCAATAAAAAGACAAGCACTTAAAGGAGGAAAGCACTTCAGCATATGCTCAAGCCGGTCTTTACCAAGTAAAGCATTCTGGCACACCCATGAAGTCCATGGGCATTAAGGAGATGAAGGGCTTTGCTGACCACCAGTTCGTCCCTGCACCGGGGCCATAATGCATCAGTGACAGCCACTCGCCAGATACCTCCCTACCCGCAAACCACGGGAATCTCGCGTGCCAAGGATAAAATAAGCCATTCTCTTCCAGTTTGGAGCCCTTTTTCCCCTCTGCACTGGGTGTAATGGAATTGCAAGACTAAACCGAACGTAACACTGAAACTGCCACCCTGCCTTCCTCTCAGTAACACTCCTGGGACAAGAAACAACCAGTCCCAAGAGAACACAGCAACCAGCGACAGGTACAGTTCACCTTTACATTTTTATGACCTATTAAATAGGCAATACTGGACTTCATTTTCCTGCTATATAATAGCAATAATCGCTTCTGAGCCTGGCACACCCCGACAGCTAATGACAGGTCAGATTAAAAGGCCAAACCTTCAGCTCATCCAAACCAATCATAAACTTTCCAGCAAGGTCTGATCTGGAGGTCAACATCGCTCTAAGGTACCCCATGGATAATTTATGATGGTTACTGCAGTTAACGTTACAAATGGCAAACTGTGTACACATCCCACTCGGGAAGCTAATGAGGTCAAATGTAGATGAACATACCGATTCTTTGTGAAAGACACAGGTGGCAGTGGCATAACTGGACTTTTCTCTGAACTGATCCTGTACTAAAAACACTCCAGTGAAAAAGCACCCCGACCTGAGCTGCAGCAAGCACAGGCACTGCCAGTTTCAGAGCTGTGCCACAGCCCTGTCACTCAGCTGTCCAGGATTAACCCAGATCTACAGAAACCATTTCCAAGTGAGGAAGGAAATAATGAAAGTAGAATAGATCTGGAGTTTAAATTCTCCAGTCTGAATTTAATAAAACCAGCTGCGCATGGACAAGGCAGGCATAACTGCAGGAGAACGCAGGGCTCCGCAGCGTGCCTTCTCTCTGGCACCCGCTCTGCAGGTCCTTCTTCACCTTCCTAATTCCTGCCCACCCCACCCCTCGCAATGCACCCGCCGTGCAAGACCGAAGCGCCTTCCCTAAGACCGCAGCGCACACTCCACCGAGGGGAGACGGCATCGGAGTGCTGCCTGGCTAGGTGAAAACGCTCTTGAAGATATCTCCAAGGGTTGTACCGCATCCTACATAAATCTGAACAACTCCCACTCATTGCAGCTCTAAGCAAACAAGGATTTAGAGAAACACTTCTAAAAAACAACCAGTTGGGAGAACGCGGGGGAGTCTGACACTACTCGGTGCTCATGAACAGCAACGGCCAGAGCTGCCCTAGCAATGAACCGCAGTGCTTCACCTTTTCCTCACCACGTGCAGCCTCTGCCAAGCAAACCTGTGAACACGACTGAATGACCCAACAGGTAAGATCAGACTGAATCCAGCTAAAGCCGTGAAACAACAATCCTATTTCTTTGTCACTCATGTATTATTGGTATCATACAAATTACACACTAAGCATATTATAACACCTGGACTTGAGAAGTACCTTCATCTGACTTGGAGAGATCAATACACCTTATTAATGCAAGCAGGTAGCTAACTTATTATGACTGCTGCTGATGGATTTTATTATGGTCATAAGGAAATACCCCTCTGTGATTTTCCAGTAAAAAGAGTCAATTAATCATTACTATAAGGGCATCCATCCTTGATCCCTCTATGAAACATCAGGCCAAAAAGCTGATCAAACCCATTATGGCAAACATTTCTGCATCTTTACCAACATGAGCTCTACAAACTCACAAATTAGAAGCTAAACAATAAAACCACACAGTGTCAAAGCCCGTTTTTCCGTGGCAAGAACTACACTGGATCTAAAGGACAAGTGAGTTAACATCTCATTCTCCAAAGGTTTGAAAAGAATACAAACCCAGAGGGAGAATCCTGACTGGATCTGGCAAAGAGTCATTCACTTCTGTTTTGTTTCATCTTGCTTAAAAATTCCTCGCTTTAGTATTTGTGGTTTTAAATACTCAAAAAAATAAAGTGTTAAAAGGATTTAAGAAACTTTATATAAATCTTTTCTTCTCACTTACATATTTACCCTTCAGTTCTGTGGCTGCCTGCTGGTAAGATGGCATCATTCTCTTACAAACACCACACCCTGATAAAAAAGAAATTGTGTAAGTAATACGCCGACAACTCTATTCAAAGTGTTCTACAGGATCTATGTTCCAATGCATATGAAATTACATTTTTATATACAAAAAAAAATTTAAATAAAACTAATTATCTATTTCACTAAATAATTATTAGTTTCTAAGGATGTTTATTCTTCTGACATGCAGCTATTTTTGCATGTTTTTCATGCTATTCATTTTCATACTCATTTCTCATGTCAGTTTTGGGAAGACTAATACTGTCTTACATAGCACTGAGCCCAGAGGGGAACTTCATATGAAACTCACATTTCAAAAGTCAATGGAAGATGTCATGCTTGTGAATTAAAAAAAAAAAAAAAAAGCGCTTTGTGCATTTCTGGTCTTTAAAGAGCAGGGGGGAAGGTACTTCAGATTCACCCCAGCTTAACAAGTCTTTGAATTCATTTGAGACACATTTCCTAAACACATTGTACAGACATCAAAAGGTAAACAGCACTCTTAACTGAGAAGACATAACTCAGAAGAAGCACCAGCCCGTGTAAGATACAGTAACTCTACATGCTGAGGAAAAGACAAACAGCAAGTGAGGAAGACTACCAATGTATAGCTGGAGTATGCTAAGAGCTGTTTGATGACGCTCTGGAGCGCTAAGCAGATTAGCACTAAATCACCTTGTAAGCAGCAGGTTTCACCCCTGCCAAGTAAAATACGTGCGTGCATATGGGAAGGGGCCGGAGCACAGACAGCATGAAAGCAAGCAAGCTGTGGCCAAGCACTTCAGACACTTTTCGTGGAAACTCTTTGGTCCACCACGGAAGAGTAGTCAACATTTTTATTCTGGTGAAGAGATAAGAGTTTTGACAGTATCTTCCAGAAAGCAGGAACAGATTTTGCAGTCACTTGTTTAGGACTACATCAGCATGCCCGTGAAGAACATCCTTTAATCAGAGGAAAGCTAGCTCTTGTTAAAGGGGGCTTATCTGAAAGATGGGGAAAAACTTTATAGCAGGGTCTTTTGTGACAGGACAAAGAGTAATGGCTTTAAACTAAGAGAGAGCTGATTTAGACTAGCTATAAGGAAGAAATTCTTTACAATAAGGGTGGTAAAACACTGGCATAGATTGCCCAGAGAGGTGGTCGATGCCCCAACCCTGGAAACGTTCAAGGTCAGGTTGAACGGGGCTCTGAGCAACCTGCTGAAGTTGAAGATGTCCCTGCTTATTGCAGGGCGGTTGGACTAGATGACCTTTAAAGGTCGCTTCCAACACAAACCATTCTATGATTCTATGGTCTTTCCATCTTTGATATCTCTGCTCAAATTGCCAGTGAGGTTATTTAATTAATGCTGGTGGAAATGATGATTTCTTGGTGGGCACGGACCGCTCATTTGAGGCCCACTGAGGTCTATCAGCTTCATCCAAACCACTGGACAGACATGAAAAGATAGAAGTTGTTAACACCAGCTTCTGGATCCTCTGTTTCTTCTCTCCTCAGCAGACTCAGACCCTGCTACTGATCTCCCTCTCTTCCCCTCTTCAACTTCTGATGGCTCCCTGGACTCCCTTCTGGAGCAAGGCACACACCAGCCTCCTCCAGCCAGCCATCACCCCTATCATCCTCCCCAGGTCTCTGCTCCCAAACCCACTTCAGTACCAGCTCTCCAGCCCACACATTTCTGGGTTACACTGTTCAGGACACTCCCAAGCCACAGCCTGGCAAAGTGCAACCTCAAAAAACTTATTTTTTTCTGTTCTTTCTTCTTCTATTTTGTCTCAAAAGGAGGGGCTTAATTAAACACATATTAGTTTTTCCACTATTTGTAAAGCCCTGCTTTCAATGATGTTATAAAGAGCTCCTTTTAGTTGCCAAATCCAGACCGTCTCCTGCAAGAGTCCTCTTTGACAGAGCTAGCTAGAAATAAACCTGAATGCCTGTAAGTGTACCTAATTTTTCATATTTAGTGCCGTCTGACTTTGTAATACAGGTCTAAAAGTACAGTGAATGGTCTCCAAATGGCAGGTAATATCTTCTAAGGAAAGCATGTCTTTGCTCTGAGTCGCTTTACCCAGACCAAGCATTCCTGAAATATTAAAGAAACTACATTTAAGTCTGCAGTTGCTTTCATCTCCCTCTGCACTGGTACATAATGAAAGAGCCCATTTCCTATGAATCTGCCACAATGACTCTCAAGCCCTGGCTTCCAACAAGGCAGAGAAATAATGCAGCTGTCTTCCCCCTAGCTTCTCCGACAAAGCCTCTGATGTCCTCTCGTGCCAAAGACCTCCCCGAGCCACCCTTACAAGTGAAGAAAAGCAGAATTTCCTTTAGTGACCAGCCTTGATTTACTGCTCCCAGTTATGAAAGGTAACACCTGAGCGTATCCAGCAACTTCAGCTGCCCAAAGCTAGTATTTTAATGCAACTGCTGGATGTATTCTGTCTCCAGTAACAGGAGTAAGAAAAGAAAAATTTGACAATAACCAAGTCAGAAGGTCTCGTGTGTTAAATAAAAGATGAGTGAGTTAAGAATTGTGAAATCAGAGGGGAGAAAACACCCTTACAAGTAGGCTTCCTTCACAGCAGTTTAGACAGCAGCAAAAGTATTACAGCACTGAAGACTAGCAGGTGTTTCGCCACTTCAAAAGAAGAGAAACTGGAAGGAGGAGGCTTTCTGGGGGAACGGTTCAAAGAGAACGCAGGGTTAGATAAGGCACATTTCAGGAAGAGACTCAGTTGTGGAAAACAATTATTCATGATACAGGTAAACTGTGAAAGCACTTTGGAGCTGAACTCTCCCTGAAGGGGCGATTTAGAGGCAGAGCAGGCGTATCATCACCTGCTGATGCAGCAGCAGCGACTGGGAACGACCACGTGCCATGCCAGGCCACACAGGACCATCCTGTTGCAGAGTCGGAAGGCACGGAGCTGCAACTAATTCAATTAAAGCAGAAAACATTCTCTTAGCGACGCATCAAACTAAGTCTTGGGCAATTCTGGCCATCTTGGCAGCATTTAGATGAGACTAAAACGGTAGAATGGCATTTCGTGCAGTAATTACAAGAGAAAATACATTGAGAAACAGCAGACAATGCTGCCATGGGACACAGTTTTAAAGAGAATCAGCCAGCAAATTGCTAGTGGTGCCTAACATCAATTTCCCTATCAGGGCAGCACTGGGAGGCTTTTCTAGCTTTGGTCACGCGTTCATTCCTTTCTCATTGCTCCCCTGCTTTCCATTTGAGCAACAACTCCGGTGCAACACTACCTTGTTTCGAAGAGCTAGAAAGCCTCTTGCATACCAGTCATCAGGAAAGACAAAAAAGCAGTCGCAAATCTGCAACACTAAGGAACACGCAGCCAGTGGAATGACAAGATAGCAGCAATACATGGTCAAGGTCACAAAAGAAATGCAATGATTCCAATGTGCTCTCCTCTTTTCTTCCTGCCCCCACCATGAAATCCCACTTGTATTCAAGCTGATCCTGCCAGCGTGGGTAGGAACACCCAGGGTGTCTCACGGATGGAACAGGAAAGATATTCCTGCTCCTGGCCACTGCACTGTTCCCTCCGCCTGTAGTCAGGAACAACAAATACATTGGCTTTTTTCAATTCCACTGTCTCCTCTGGAGATCTTTTGCCTGTGTGGAACCGGCTTCTCTTACGCTGTGGGCCAAACTGCAGAAGTAAACAGCGTGTGCAATACCCGTTTGCGCTTACAGCTCTGTCCAGGCCAGAGGACTAGGCACTCTCAGACAGATGTACTAACATTTTTGCACTCAGCATACAGCGTTTCTGTCTTGCACAACACAAATCTAGAAAGGACAACAGGTAAAGAAGTTATGGAAAGCAGCTGCTTAAAAGAACAACGAGCAAGAGTCACCAACACAAGAGGCAAGACTAGGACACAAGCGATGGACAACTAGAGGAAACCTGAGGACAGACAGGCAGAACACAGAGTTGAATGATAAACACGGGACAAGATGGTATTAGCGAAGCACAGGTGAGGCTTCCAGTCACACTTGGACATCTCTCAGTGGAGAAGGGAGAGAGAGGAGACAGGACATGCTGAGTTACTTACATGGGGCATAGAACATCATCAGAAGCGGTTTATCTTCCTTCTTCAGAAGCCTTCTCAATTCCTAGTGAATGAACCAAAGAAAATAAAACCAAACCTATACCCAAGGACACCTCTTATTATTGGTGTTATAACTTTAAAAATGTTCTTAGATGTATTCCTAGAATATAGGCTCATTTATCCGAGGGAAGAGGGGTCATCTTTCCTAACAGGCAACATTTGAGCTGCTTCTCCTTGCTCAAACTTAACTTGAAAGAAGATGGCAAAATTTATTATAAATTCAAATATCTGATAAATATCCTAGACCAGTATCTTCAATGTTGAGATGTGGAAGTTGTGTGAATCTCTGCAGAATCTCTGACTGGAAACTTTTTCTTCCCTGACCCATTCAAAGACCCATACTCTAATTCAAAAAGTCAGACTCAATAATAAACAAAACAAGTTCAGTTTCCACACTATGAAACCCTGTCAAAGCTATAAGAAGCCATGAGAAAAGATTTTTCAGTATCAGCATGATAAACCAGATGAAGTTTTCAAATTGAATGCAACCCTTGGAAGGCTTGTAATAGAGTACAGAGGGTGAATATTGAAAATTAATCTTCCTACAAAAGCTGATGTCAAAATAACTGCTTCTAATATTAAAAATGAAAGCTAGAAAATTGAAAAGGCCCTTTACAAAATACCAGCTACAGTCCAATCAATTAAAGTTTTAAAAATCTATAGACTAGAAAAGTAATACAAAAGACCAAGCTGATTATATTAGAGAGAATATAATGGGTAGCTTTGTGGTGGCACTGGATTTTTAAGGTAGTTTCATCGTATTTGCTGCTTTCCCACTTCGCACTGAGGGGACAGTTACTATACAAGGTTAAATCACTCCAGATCTGGATCCTGTTGCTTCCTGCTCCAGACTTCCTGAGATGACCGCAGGCACGTGAAGGGACCCAAGGTTTAACAACAACTCACAGTCCTAAGAGCAGCTTTTACCTCCCACTTGCGTCCTGCAGTGACTGCATCTTGCAGGCTGCTACATTTTCCTGAGACAAACCAGTCTGTTCTGCCACACCACCCTCAATGCTCTGATGCTCGCCGAGTCGCTGGCAGACTAATATCATGACCACACGCAGGAGAGAGGAAGGCGGGAAAAGCAGGAGACTTTACTCCATGGTTACCACAATCCACAAATGTTGTCAAGTCACATAAAACAGATTGGGTGCTTTAAACTTCCCTTCCAAAGCAAGGAAATAACGGTGCTTCATTAAGAGTTAACACAAACATACACACTCCCTTCATCCCACATATTGATAAAACATACAAAACATCTACCCACCTTTTCACTGTCAACATGCACAACATCTTTGGCGTCGGGATCCTCCTCCCACAGTGGAGCACCTTCTGGATCCTTGAGAAAGGCCACTACTGACTGTAATAAACACAGAAAAATGCTTTTAAAGAAAAATGAATATAAATCATGAGACTTCCAATCTCAAATCCATGCTGTCATGCAAACCCCATCCAATTACTGCCTTTGCTTTTCCTGCTCATATACTCATCTGCTCTAATGCAGGTAAACACAAATTTCCTATTGCAGAACCAAGTGATACATTGGTGAGTACCCCCCTCATAACTGGTATCTCAACCTACCAGTTCCCATTTCCCCTGTGTAACTGGGGAAAACAGTGTGGAAGTAGACCAGCACACAGACAGTAGCTTCAAGGATCCTTCAGAGAGCTCTTTCAATGGTACGAGATCTGCAATACTTCCACAGCTACTCCCAGGCTTAGCAGGAAAGATTTCTCTTTAAGCAGAGGTCAGGTTCCTATGCCCTTCACCATATCTGAGTAACCTTTGAATCCAACAGGACTAGTTAGAGGGCAGTGATGCTCGCTGTGAGCAAAAGCAATGAACTCCACACTTAAAGATCAAACTGCTTATTTGGTCAAAAGAAGAATAATCCACCAATAGTTCCCTCTATGACCCATCTATCTAGAAACTGCATGCAATGGATTTTTAAGTAGCAGAGTAAGAAGCAAATGTGACATGAGAAGTGGTAAATACGATTCTGCAGCTCCTATATTCAACAGGCTGAATACACATGCATGCATACTTGGTAACTGCTTAAAACAACTGACACGCAGCCAACAATCTGTTTCAGCAGACCACAGATATTCTCTTAATCACAACGAAATACTCTCTGATGGTTCCAGTTTCAGCCTGAGCCTGAGGGAAACTCCAGCCCTCCAAAGCCAATGAGATGCTCTCCATGGATTCCAGCAGAGTCCCACTGCCCCCCATTTCCAGCTGCACATGGAAGCACAAGCTTGCTCACTGTTATCCTCAGATGTCTGTGCTCTAGTAAACATAATACTTGGTATTCTGTGTTCATTCACCACTCAGACTGATCCCATTTCTTTCCATGTGGCATTGTTTGTAGGTACATGACCATTCCCAGACAGGATCTCTGCCACATCAGTAATGAAGCGAGATCCCCGAGGAGCTTCCTTAATGTAAGAGCAAGCAGATGATGCTGCCACAGTAGTAAGTGAACTCACCTGGAGTTGGAGCAAAGAAAAGTTTCACTAAATGGGCTATTTTGGCAAAGCAACTCATGACCGAGGAGCAGAGCTGAGCATATACTAACACACACCACGAATATCCACCTAAAAGCCTAGGTCTGTACTCCACCTTCCTGAGAGCAGTTTAGCAGCACGCCTGGTGATGCATGCCTCCGAAACAGTCTCAGAGACACTTTTGCCACCTCTCTGTCTTTGATAGGGCAGCTCTGGTACACCATCCCAACAGCTTATCAACAGATAGCAGAGTTCAGCTCATTTTCCTCAATCTTAGGAGGTACTGCAAGGCTCAGGAGGATTCAGAGCTTATGGCAGGATCCATCTATTGAATTTCTGTTTCTGTCTACTTGCACAGCTAATATTGAAGAGATTTGTCTTCTCACAAGAGGCAGCATATATTAGTCACTAGACAGCAAGCAAAGCACTTAAGGTACCTAGTAAGAAGACCTAAGGGGTGAGGTAGTAGTGTTGGGGCCACAAACACTTCAAGAAGAAATTTATTTTAATATGGCATGAGCAGAGAAAGGAGCTAGGGGGGGGGGGGCGGGGAAGAAAAATCAAGTCATTTATAATGCAGTTATAGTTGTTAAAAGCTCTAAAACTAGAGGTATTAACATCCCAAATAATCCCCTAAGAAGACTTTATAATATATGGGGAAAGGAGAGAAGACAACAAAACAAGGAAGATGTTCTACATTTAGGAAAGCTACATCAAGTTCTGCTCGCTCTCAGTCTGCACAGACCTCAACTACACAGTGGAGGGGAGGAGAAGGGGGTCAACATTTTAAATGGCTAACGAGTGCAATTGACTCTGCTAGTTTCAAGAAATCCTGCGTGCCAAGTTCAGTCATGTAGAAACAGATGTTGTTAGAGGATGGGGAATTAAAGAGTTTTAATTTATCCAGCCTCTCCCCCTCAGCCAAGACAGAAAAAATTAGATGCGTAATGTCTTCTGGCAGGAGCAGGCAGTATGCTGCCTTGCCCTCGTTACTCCGTGCGGTGAAGAGAACTTCCTGTGTGCCTTTAAATAGGAAAGAATCCCCCTCCAACAAACCACAGGACTTTCTAACCACAGAAATGCAGTGGTCCCCAGGCTGCTGAGTTAGAGACCAGAGCAAGGCCCAGGCCACAGCAAACGCCACGCTGAAGAATCACCTACACTCCTGTCCTGCCATGATGTGGTCAGGACCTGCTTTGACCCCACGGCACCGACCGAGACATGCTGGGCTGTAACCCGCTGCCCAGATCCCTGCGACAGCTTTGAACCTTAAACATCGAACAGGCAGAATGCAGGACACGGCTTCACCCAGCCTATGCTGCTAAAAGCAAGCAAGTTTTAACAGCATAATAGCTGGCTATCATATATGGACCTAGGTGTTACCCTGGGGAAAATAAAAATAATATATATATACACATACAGAAACACATCCCTGTACTTTTCACTCCTTTGAAGTATAATGCAGTAGGGATGCTAATAGAAAGACTTCCCTTGATTTCACAGACACACTCTTTACAACAGCAAACTTGAAAAGGATTCAGAGTTTAGAGCAGGATCTATTTATTGGGCTAGTCTATTCCCTTTGCTAGTATCGAGCAGATGTGTACTTTTAATGAGTTTTCTCCATTTTAGAAGGAGAGTAAAACTCTCCCTCTACTTTATCCTCCAGAAAAGGCTTAATCATGTACTAAACACAGCCTGGATACTGGTCTCATGGCACTATCAAGGATTAGGATGTGGTGTGACTAAAGCAACGTATGAGCAGCCGTATCAGTTAAGACGAAAGACTGATCTAAGCTTAGGTCTCCAACAGTAGCTGACTACAGATACTTGGGGAAAAACTATACTAGTACGATTCTTACATAGCATACACTGGTATGCGTTCTCAATTTCTGACAAAAAGTAATCAAGTTTATGGACTCTGCACCAGCTGCTGTATTTGGGCCTCTGCACTTGCTAACTATCAATGGATCTATCTGTTATGACCATCTAAAACTGTTTTTAAGACTCCTAAGTTCTTGGCTTTCACAACACGTAACTATGAGTTCCACAACTTTGTTTTAAACATTGTAGTTACTTGTTTCAAATCAAGTTTGGAGAAAAAAATAAGTAATCATCCCCTTTTGTAAGCTACTTACAGCCATACAAACATCTATTGTAATCTCCTCCAGTTGTCCTTTTTTCCAAGCTCAAGAATCTTCACTTAAATATTCAAGCCATCTGTGCCTCTGATCATCCTCACTGCCCTTCCGCAGTACTTCTACACCTTTCACTCGATGAGGCAACCAGTATAACATAAAAGACACAAGAAGAAGGAACCCAGCAAACTCAGGTAGTAGAATAACATTTCCTTTTCCATCTTCTCTTCCTTTCCTAATCATTTTACTTTTAAATACTGTTAAACACACGGCCAGTATTTTCAAGCCAACCACTGTCCTGACTGGTAATTCAAAACCATTACAATAGCCTGCTTTACCCCAGTGTAGTTGGAGCTGCGTCCTTCCCTTCCCTCTCATTACCCCGCAAGTTCCTACTGTCATATTGACAAGCCACTTGTTATTGTGAGAACTTAAGGCCTTCTGCAAAGAGTTGGAATTTTTTTTTTAAACTAGCCGTAACGATTTTGCATCACTGAACTTCGTTATCTTGCAGCCCACCTCCCTTCACCAGATACCCCAACCAGCTCAGATCCTAGCGCAGGTCTCAGCAGCAGGAGGTTCTGACGGCTAACCAACCTCCTCTCACTGTGAACACTGAGCTATCCTTTATTCCTCATTTTTCTAACAGTAAACCCACAAGGACATCTCTCCTAATTACAGGAGGATTTAGTCACTTTAAGAAATGAAAAGCTTTTCTTAAAAACCTGAGTACACAATCAGCTGGATCAGCCACATCTATGAAATTGTCGATTACTTCAGAAGAATCCTTTTACAGCTCTTCAGACCTGTGTCCACCACTCTCCAAAATGTCATACATATATTAATATGTCTACTGGATGCCTGCAAAGAAGATCCGAGTTTTATTGCCACAAGCTTGCTGAATGATGTGAAACAAATCCTTTAATCTCCCTGTTCTTCAGTGTGTCCACCTGTCCGTAAAATAAGTATGATACCCTATGTAATTGTGTTGCTCTGCTGCTCGCTGTTTGTAATGTACTGGGAGATTCCTGACAAACACAGCCAAGAGAGAGAAAGGTCACTGCCTCAACAGCAGAAAACAAGGAGAAGAAGTGGTATAGAAGGAGAAATACAGACAATATTCAGGCAGCTGTGAGCAGCAGAACAAGTAAACACTCCGCTGAGTTATCTGACCACTGCCCAGCTCTAATGCAGTGTCCAACCTGTAAATCATTGGCAGCCGGTTTCACGGGGGCAGTTGAATTAAGAAAGACTAGAGCTCCTAGAGCAATGGACGTTCAGAACCCCTCTCCCACCCCAGCTGGAATCCCACATCCCCGTCCACGGGATGCTGCTTCCTTCTCCCCAGCTGGCAGGGCAAAAGGGAAGGGGGAAACGCTCATGGCAAAACAGCAGCTGAAGGAATAAATGCTTTATGGTTCCTGTTGTGCTACGACTGCCTCTCAGCCCCACACTCCCCGAGGCTCTGCAGGTGCCTTCCAGTTGATCCGATCGGTAAGGGTGAGCCACTAACTCCTGGTTGCAGCGCTTTACGGGGGGCAGGAAAGACATGTCATGCACTCTTCAAACCACCCAAATTCAGGCAACTAACTAGTCTCCCTCGCCCCACCACCCACCAAGAGGGGAAAAAATGCCCCAGGTGCATTTCCTCGCTAAGCACAGGAGGAGCTTCAGGCACTTGCTGACTAGGCTGGGTATCCAGCATTGCCCTTCCTAGGGCCAGGATTTCTACTGCAGGAGAAGGGAAGGTACACAGTCCTGCCCTCCCCACCTCGGGCGAATCCTGCGTGACGACCCCAAGGGCAGGCTGAACGGATGATCCAAGCCAGGGCGCACTCCCAAGACAGCCCTGCCATCAGCCACCCCACAACAACTCTGGCTGTAAAAGGAAGGTCCGGAGCAAGCGCGCTTAGGAACGGCCACTCTGACAGACTCGGGTTCCTGCAGCACCTTGCACAGGCTTTCCTGCCAGACCCCTGACAAGCCAGAAAGGGGAAGTGAATGTTCAGAAGTCACCAAAGCCTTCGCAAGACCAGCTATGGTGCAGAGCCCGGGTTTGCTTGAGCAGGAAGAGAAATGGGAACCAGAGCTGGACAGAAGCAATTTCTGGAAGCCAAGTCATCGCAGGGCTGCAGCCTCGCGTGAGGACACTCCCAGTGCTTCACCAGGGCTTCGCAGAGGAAGGCTGCACACTTTCGGCCTGCTTACTGTGCTTTCCTTCCACTGTCTCCACAGTCATCAAGATCTACACATTTGTTTCGTGTTCCATGCCTTCCTCCTTCCACTGCCCTCACAGAAAGTTGCTTTCTGTTGCTCTGTGTCAAGGTTTGCAGAAGGAAGGTCGTTTTATCCCTACTGCACTCAAGGCACATCCATAGGAACTGGTTCCATAATCCAATAAAAGATAAGCTCACTTGGCTCTCTTTAAAGTCTATAAACACACAATCTAAACACCTCAGAGAATTCCTTATCAAAATGCAGTATCAGCTAATACTTTCAGTTATACTGCCTTTAATAGCACCTCGTAATCACAACAAGAAAATTCCTATTTGTTACCAGCTTGCAAGTTAACTCACAATTTACATTACAGTTCAACAGGGGTTCAATCTTTTTAATAATATCCAATTTTCCTGGATCTGTGGTTGGCAGACACGTACACACACAAAAACTTTTAGGTCATTCTGACAGCTATTTGTGAAGATTAACCCCCTTCCTTTCACATCCTCAGCATGAAAAATACCAACACCTGGTTTTAATCCACAAATGTCTCCCCCATATCTAGCAAAACCAAAAAAATAATAATCAAATATTTACATTTACCTTCAATGTGACCGCTCTGTTATATTCAGTATGAAATGCACCGTCCCTGTTGAACAAGGAGTGGGGAATAGTGTTAACTTACAGTAACGTTGCTGGAAATCATACAGCTGCTCTTCCTCACTTCTCACTAACCAGAACAACATCACCCTGCTGAAGCCACAGAACTAAGTAGAATTTACAGTACAGTAATTTAAGGGCTGAAAAGAGAGTCACGAAAAAGGGAGGGTGCAAAACAGAGTGTAAAGCAAACAGGTTTCTAGTAAATAATTTCCTCCCTGACACTTTAACAGGAATATTTACTAAAACATGATCTTTGGGGATGGAGATGCGGCTGCTTGGTGTCTCTTAGGCCTAACAGTACTCCCACTACTATTATTTCCAGGAAGAAAATCTCTTGCTGTTTCACCACACTTGCCTTTCTCCACCTACTTCACAAAGCACCATCTCAAGTCCAAAAAGCAAGCACAGAGAGGTGAAGCGACTTGCCCAAGGCACACGCCAGCGGGCACGTGTCGGAGAAAGCAAGAGAGCTCCAATCTCAGGCATCAGCCCTGTGCATTGGGTGGTTTCAGTCCACTGGGCATCTCTCCCCAGGCCCCGCTCATGCTTCTAGTGTACTCTATTCAACAGCAGAATAAATTTATCTCATCTTCTGTCACAACACATGCTTGCAAACTGAAGAAACAGCAATCAATGTCACATGTCAAAGGATAAAAAATAAGAAGTCTTTGCGCTGCAGCAGTATGGAGCTGCAAGGAGAACGAATGGTCCTAACGGGGGCATCAACAATTAGGAACTACAGATCCCAGCCCAGCACTCACTTATAATGGAGTAATTCCACTCCTTTCTCCTTTGAATTAGGATCTACTTTCATCTTCTTGCATAATTTTCGGCTTTCAGTATCACTGCAAAAAACACATATTGGAAGAAAAAAGGTTACAAAAAAGGAAATCAAATGCATTCAGTTCTGAAAACTCATTGCTGTGCTTCCTCATCAGCAATTAGTTACAACTAACAGTAATTTGGAAGCTGTTCAGCTAAGTTGGTGAGACAAGCATTGTGGAAAGCTGCATTACCCAATTTAATTTCTCCACTTGCTTGGTCAGGACACAGTGAACTGTGTTAAAACCACATTCCAAAGCCAGACCCTGACCAGCAGAAAAGTAGCCTGTCCTAGCATGTCCGAGTACCTCAGCAGACCTTCTGTCCACGGGATTAACATAAAATTTAGGAAGTCAAGTTTTCAAGAAGATTGTGCTGCTGTTAGGGTGGTAGTCAAAGATGATTGTTTGTGAAATGATTCAAAGAGAAAGAGCAGGTCAGCTTTTCTATCTGGCAGAAGTTAACTCAAAACCAAAAAGAAACATCTTCATGGTATCTCCAAGCCCAGATCACAAGTAGCTAGACTTAAAAAGGTCCTGCAGAAAACCAAAACTAGTTCCAGTCTTGCAGCCCCAAGCCCAGCAATCCCATTCACTCTAGGTATGAGGGATGTGACCTGTAGCCACACCTGGCAAGTGGAGGTAGAGACCATCTGCCACAGCTCCTGAAGGAGGCACGGAACAGACAGACAGACTTGCTGGGGGTGGTTTTCAAACTGAACACGAGTGAATCACTTCCAGCAGATTAGGCTGAGCTGAAGAAAGGTCATGGGAGAATACTGCATACACATTTGCTTAGGTGGGCAGGTGAAGGGTCTTCAGGGCCTAGCTGCTGTCCTAAACAATGCAGAAGTGAAGCTGCTAGGATACTTCAAGCTGAAGTGAATGAGAAGTCAGACCTGGGGATAACTACAAAGCGGATGATTCACATCGACAAGACTATCCTTCGCATTGACAAACAGCAAGATTAAAAAGCTTGGAAACTTGTTCCCAGCAGAGAACAACTTGTACCTTTTATGCAGATAAATCCATTTAGAAAATGAAAACATTGAAAACCCATCAAGTTTAAACTGATTAGAGACACATTAGAGACACCGAGATGCAAGGGTTGCAAGAGCCCCACCAAATTAAGCACTGCTGCCAGCACTGGTGCTAATTCTCCCAATGTTCTCCAGCTGCCTTTCTGCAAAGGTGAGGAACAACAAACAGCAAGTTTGCAGCATGCTGCAGATGAGAGCATGCCTTTGTGGAAACTTCCCCAATGCTGACTGTAGACGGAAATGAGGAGTGGGCTGCTGTGGACACACACAAAAATCAGAATATTCTGCTGAAGACAGAAATGAGCATTTCAAGGAACTAACAAAGCATGCAAGTACCTCACCAGGAAGGAGCACCCGTAATCCCAACTGTATAGAAGCATGTTCATCTGAAGAGTCTTACTGAATTCATGTCAGTTCTGCATTTTTCGATCATAGCCAAAGCTAGTCATTGTAACCCGCAAACGCTTTCTTTGCTTCTCCAGGAGGCTGGAGATCTGAGCCTGAGAAGACAGGTATTTTCCTGTCATCTGCTGTATCTTCGTTTTCCCCAGACTGCAGTGGAGGGTGGAGCTAAAACGTGTCATCTGTTCACTGAATAAAACGAAGCTCTCCCCTTGTAACACAACTAGATTACGAAACAAGCAGCCCAGATTTGGAGTTTTGCCGAAAAGCTGGTTTGCCACTTGGACTTTGTACAGAAAGCCTGTAGCAACATCAAACCCAGGGGCCAGAAACATCCTGTCTTCTCCCACCTGCAGTCCTCCAGCAGTGCCATGGGCTAAACCTAAGCGACACGAAGGTCAGGGGACCTCAGCAGGCAGCACCAGTTTCAGACCATCCTCCCACCTTACCCCAGACAGATCTGGAGGCACGGAGAAGCCCTGTGGCCCTGCTGCAGCTGACTGCCAGACAGCTGACAAAAGTCAGTCTGCACTACAGGCAACATTTAAAATGCTCTTCTAGACACTCCCAAACGTTTCCCGCACACACACGTATTTGTGACCATCTCAGCCGTGCCAAGGCAAATGTTAGGCGGTTGATGCGAACAAGTGTAATGGTGAAATCTACCTCCAGCCGCAGGGTCTGTCAAACCCTGAGATGTGCAGACAATTGTTCTGGTACCAGCAGAGGACCGAAATGGGTATCAAGGCAACTCTGTTACCAGTTCTGCCACCAATGTGGTTCAACTTCAAACCACGTAGGAAAAAAGTGTAATTGTTCCTTATGTGTCACTTCGTGATCCGGATATCCAGAATTGAGTTCTGCAAGGTTCACAGTTGAAAAAAGTTACAGAACATTACTACTGAGATGTACCTGTGAGCAAGCAGCTAGCAACTCCTACCACCCCAAATCCTACCAATTAATTTGCTATTTGCATGAGTTTTTATTAAAAAAAGAGATAAGAACAGCTGTTTCACTGGAAGGAAACGGAATCTAAGCCCGCCCTGCTTTCAGGATTGCTCCATTAGTAGAGATTCACGTGGCTGCTTGAATGTACATCCACTACCCCAGGAAAGAAAGCAGCAGTTTACTCTGGTATGACTCTTCGCACCCAGTAAGCGGACTCTCTGCACCACTGCACTGGGAGTTTAGCCTGTGCAAGCTATTTGCACTGATGCAAGGGATGGAAGAGGAGCAAACTCCCAGAATAGAAAATGTCTAAATATACATCAGTAATTTTTTCATGCATCAGTGCAGATTGTTGCACTTGCCAGACCCACCAACTCAGATGCTATACTAATGATTCTTCGGAAAAAGCAGAAAATGAGATGTACAGAAATGGCAGAGATGGACCCGTTCCGCTTTTCCTTTTGCTTTCACTTACAGCCAGACAAAAGTAACCTGCAAAGAGCAACCTGCTCTGATATCACTTGGTAATGACCATTATCCTTAATAAGAGTAAATATCAACACAGATGCAGTCCCTGCTCTGAGAGTTGTCTCCTCTGGATCTCCGCCAACAGCTTCTCTCTGAAGATGAGCTCCTCAACTCTCACATGGGAGAGGGTAATTAGGACTCCAGTTCTTGCAATTTAATTATACAACTTAAAGAGGCAATGTAAGAGTTTGTTACAAAGAGTAGAAGGAAAAAAAAGGGGGGGGGGGGGAATAAAAAAAGCCCCAAAGAAGCCAGAAACCACTCTCAAAACCAGCAACCTACCGCCTAGGCCAAGACACTCCAGACAAGGCACCAGGCTCAGGAAACACTGGTTTGAGGATGAGGGTAGTAACGTGCCCCCAGCAGCCAGCCCTGGGGGTATCATGCCACTTCTGTCCACAGCAATTCCAGCCCTCGCGGGTCCCTGCTGTGCTACTGCTGCAGGGACTCCTGCTTTGCTTTGCCTGCAGGCAGTCCTACAAATTGTCCAGCTTCACCTCTGGGGAAAACCATCCGGAACATCAACCTATCTGCAACACCACAGCAGACTGAACCAGCAGCTGTCTATGCGGTAATAAGGTCAAACCTTGAGTGGCATGATGGCACGGCTTCCTTCCACTCCTGCAGGCATGTTCCCCATGCTCCCCCTTCCCAAAAAACCAAACAGGGGCTCCAAAATGCTCCTTCGTTGGAGAAGCAAGAACATATGGCAACTTGACAAGAAGAATGATAAACGAAAGATCCAAGCTGACCTAACTAAGCAAGAAGTTTAAATCACAACAAAGATAAGATGCATCACAGGAATACTTCACTCCTTTCTATTCACATCCCCATCTCCTCTACCGGAAGATTCTTCTGTCATTTGGGGTTACGACAGAGCTGGCAGGAAGCCTGACTGGAGCGCTCCCTGCAAATCTCTGGGGTCCCTTGCCAACGTTAGCATGCACGAATAACCCCTCTGCGCAGGCAGCCAGCTGTTACTGGGGCAGCAGTTAGGGTGCGGGGCTCACGAAGGAGATCTGACCTCCTCCAGCTCACCACCAGCGACACCAGCGCCTGAAGGGGACGTGCCACGGGCGCTCCTCGGGAGCAGCGCAGGATGCTCTGCCTGCACAGGGCTGCCACAGGCCGGGGAGCTCGTGGCCGTAAGGACAGCAAAGCAGTGACAGATACTGATGGCAGTCCCTGGTGGCAGAAGTAACCCAGAGAAAGGTTTTTCCAGCAATGTGGCAAGGTAATTTGGAGAAAGAACATCAGAAGAAGCTAGACAGCAGGAACAAAATAACAAGATCCAGGAGCTTGGCTACAGTAAGTCCACATTGGTTTCTAAAAACAAAACAAGTCTGAGCTGGATGGATCCTGAATAAGACATGGTGCCCAGAGGTGACAGTGCAAAATGCCCTCCTTGGTGGGAATTCAGATATTGTCCTGGCAGGCCCTGAAGGCAGTAAGATAAGACAGAACATCCTCAGCACCATCCTCTCACAAATCAGATCATCCCCTGCTCCCTAACTATTTCCCTTATCACGTAATGCCGCCCATTGGCTACTCATCAAGGGAAAACAGCCCTACAACCACATCAGCCTCTGGGGAGGAAGAATCTGGGGTGACTGTCAAATCGCCTCTCAGGCAACGACAAAAATGCCATCCAAAAGAAGTTCACTTCTCCAGTTGCCAACGTAATAGCAGCGTGTGCATGTGCTGTGTGGCCATGCCACTTCAATGCCATCGTGCTGGCATCTACTAACACTTTGCAACACAGACTGGACCCAGCCTTCTTTTTCGTCTGTAGTTGCAGTGTTTCCAGGCACAAGAGAAGCAATTAATAAGAACAGACAGCATCAATTTAAGTAACCAGGTCAGTAAATCTGCCTGCACAAAAACAATCTCGCTCCTCTATCAGCATATCATGTAACCACATGTGAACCACAAACCTCACAATCTGTAAACAGATTTTATCTCTTCTATCTGTACATGTCTCCATCCGAAAAAGGGCTCAACAACCAACACAAAGTGTGCTTCAGCAGTCCCTTATATCACAGCTGCGCCTGCAGACCCCAACGCAATGGAGGATCTGTCGTATCAGCGACTGTACGGACAAACACT